CCAGACACCGACAGCACCGACCTGCGGAGACTCAGCGATCGCATCACGAGGACGAAAGCACGCTCGGGGGACCCGCGGCAGAGGTTGCCGCTCACCTGCACCCAGGAGTTGTAATACACATAGAAGGAAGAAGCCGCGTACAACGCAGCCTGCAGATACCTGCATGAGGTTGCCCTGAAACACGACAGCCGACAGGGACTCCACACGCAGCGCCTGCTCCAAGTGGACAATGTACGCTACCGGCTTCGACACAACGTTGCCCTGGACCACCACGGCCGAGTTGTTCATTGCTTCCAGCGACGGGGATGACCGCGAGCCCTCAAGCTGTATTATCACACTTTGGCTGCCTTCCACAACAAACGTATTGCGCATCACCGCGAACAGGGAGTCCCACGACACCCGCAGCGCAGAGTCGACAGCGCAGATGACGCTTGAAAGTCCCACCACGGACCGAAACGTATTGTCACTGAGCACCACCGCGGAGTGGTTGGTGATCACCACCCCATTCATCGCGACAGACGACGCTTTCCCAAGGGCCAACCCCGGCCGAGACACCCTCCTCGTGACCGTAAAGCGGTTCCCGCTGATGGCGAGGTTCGTGCGCGGTGGGAACGCCCCATTGAAGCTCAGCACGGCGTCCTCGAACGTGTTGTCGGTGACGGCGATGTTCAGCGACCCCACGGCGGAGTCCGCTTTGCCCGCCAGCACCAAAGAGGCGCCGTCCCTCCACCTGCATCCGTCAAATGTGACGTTCGCCACGTCGCCCGTCATCGCCCCAGTGAGCACCGTGAGGGTCATGCCGCCCCCGCTGAACGTCACGTTGCGGTAGCACAGCCACGACAGCCCGTCGCCCACAGCCTGCGCCACCTCGGGGTACTCCATGTCGCTGATGCACTCACCAAACGCCGGCTGCGGCGGCAGAGGGGGCGGCAGCGGGCCACCGGGCACAGGCGCCGGGACGCACACATCGCCGTGCCCCCCACCGGCGCACTCGCACCTGCACTCGCTGAACGCCGTCGTCAGCGCATCGAAGCAGTCGCCGTCCCTCGTGCACTCCCCGCACGCCGCAACCTTCGTCACGTTGGTGATGCCGTTGAGCCCCATCTCAGCCGCCGTCAACACCTTTCCCGCGACCGTCAGGCACCCAGCAACGAACCTGTAGCCGGCTTCGACGCCCCTCAGCAGGGACCGCGACATCCCCGTGGAGCCCATCTTGCAGCCCGTCAGCGTCACTGCGCTGCCGCTGTCGACGCTCACAGAACTAAAGG